ACTTACTTTTGTGACTTCATTTGCTTAATTAAATTTATGGTGAGTTTTTCCTCAAAAACCCTTTGTGATCTCATGTAGTTTAAAATGCAAATCACATTCTCTATTGCACGGAGAGGTGCTTTTTTCTTGTAATTTCCCCAACATTAATAACACATCTATTGGTCCTAATTTAATACTTTGTATTTTCCATTTTTTAAATCACTTCCTCCTGGGAGCTTTTGGGTAGAGATGTCAGTTTGAGGTCCAGTGAATTCTTAACTCTGTTATTTTAAAAATATATAAAATGAAATGAAAAGGAAATAAAGAGAAAGAAGAAAAAATGCTTGCTAACTAATAAAAACATAAAACATTATAAAACCAATGAATTTATAAGTCAGGGAAACTTCTTTAATCTGATAGAAACAATGGTAAATCTTTGAATCCTGAATTACTGCAGTTCAGTGTTCCATAAAGGTGGTGAAAGTGGCCACTATTAGAATTAAAAAGTGAATTTTGCCCGGCCAGTGTGGCTCAGTGGTTGAGTGTTGACCCGTTCACCAAGGGGTTGCCAGTTCGATTCCGGGGCAGGGCACATGCCGGGTTGGGGGCTTGATTTCTGCTGGGGTGTACAGGAGATAGCTGATCAGTGTTTCCGTCTCTCCCTCTCCTTTCCTCTCTTTCAAATCAATAAAAGCGTTTTTTAAAAAGTGAATTTAGTGAAGTCACTGCTCAATATAACATTTCAGTTACATTTGTATATATTAGCAAAAGGCAATTATAAAATAAAAACTTCTAAATGAACTTACATTAGTGTAATAGTATATTATTATAATAAAAATGAAAGATGACCTGAAAGGACAGGAAGGACACACACTGTTCCCTGCTAGAGGCAGTGTCATGAAGGCTGCAGTTCTCTGCGCTCTAACCTGTAGATCAGGGCGGAGTCCGTCACAGTCTCCGTAGGCTTTCTTTATGTGTGCATGGAAATTTATGAATTGATTCTAAACAGTATAGGAAATTAAGAGGGTCAGTATTAGCAAATGTCGAAGAAAAAAGCCCCCTTTGACTACCAGATATCAAGACCTATTTTGATGTCACAACAATTAAGGTAGTGAGGTAACAGCATAGACATAGAAAAATGGGCCAGACTAGAAGAGAGTTCATAAATAGGTCCACGCATTAGCGACCTGATTTGTGACGTGGGTGACCTGTAGTCCAGTGGGCAAGGACAGTCGTCTTGGAAGCCACTGGGTCAGCTGAGGGGCTGGATGAGGGAAAAAGAATCATGATTCCCCCCTTCTTCCCTCCATCTCCATACGCCAAAAAGTCAATACCAGACAGGTTGCAGCTCTCAAGTGGAAGGTAAAAGAATATATTTTCTATAAAGTAATATAGGAGAGTCTTTTCATGACAAAAACCACCAGGCATGAAGGAAAAGATTGATAAATTGTGCTATAATTAAGAATGTCTATCATCAGAGTCACCGGTAAGAGACTGTGAAAAGACACAGGCTGGGAGCACAATACTTGAAAAATATGAACAATTCTGGCAAATCAGTAAGAAAAAAGATAGGCAACCTAATAGGAAAAAAATGGATAAAAGACGTGAACAAAATCCTTCCCAGCAGCAGATATTCTAGTGTCTGCTTTACCCTAGCTGTCCTCAGAGAAGGGCACCTTAGGACTGTGATAGGAGCCAGCCCAGCAGAGGAGCTGACACTAAAGGGACTAGTGATGCCAAGTGCTGGCGAGAGGATCAGTTTATACCCCCACTTTGGAAATCTCTTTTGCATTATCTACTATAGCTAAGTATTTATAAACCCATGCCCAAGTAATTTTACTCCTGGTATAGGTCCAGTAGAAATATACTCATGTGTTCTCCAAAAGGTGTGTTTAGGAATGTGCACTAGAGAAGTACTTGTAATAGCCCCAGGCAGGAGGTAACCCTGTGTTCACCGGTTGATGGGTAAGTGAACTGGGATGTGTTCATCCAGTGGAACAAGCAGGGGGATGAATGACTGCCACTGCCTGGGGCAGCGTGATGGCTGCTACCCCTGTAACGCCAGGTAGAGAAGCTAGATGAAAGAGAATGTAGTTTATATTTCTAAAACCAATAAAGGAAAAACTGACTGATGGTGATCAGTCACGCTACCTTTGGGGAGGGCGAGAAGGCAGCCTTTAGATCTTGGTGCTCATTACATGGGCTTATTGACTAGTAAAATTTTAGCAGCTGTATATGGTTTGTATATTTTTCTGCATTTGTTAAAGTTATTAAAACCACAGCCCCTCAAAACCATAATTTTACTTTAAAAAATGTAAATGACTTCATTATATTTTGAATCTTGGAATTTAGTGTGCAAATTTTAAGATTTCTCCCAATCTTAATAATAAACATGTGTGATGGGGAATTATGTATAGGGTAGAGTGTTTTTTGTTTCCCCCTCTAATTTATTATTTTAAAAAATATAACATCAGGGTAATGGATTGTAGGCATGCGTTAAATATTTTAATTACTTTTCCTGTGTAAGCCTTGATATTAAAAGCTTATCTTCCTGATGGATGTTTTATAGTTGTGATGTAATGATGCAGAAATGCATCTCTGCAGAAAACTAGACATGCCGTTTGAACAGTGGAGAAATAACATCGTTGATGTTATGAGTCTCTGGGTGCATTTTACATTCTCTTATCTTGGGTGTATTTACTACGCAATTCCAAATTAAATGTAGACTAACACTATGAAACAAGAGAAGAAGGGTGGTGTATCTGGGATTTTGTGCACATAGAGGTGGCTTGGGAGAGTGGGGCTTTGAAGTCAGAGGTCATGTTTCAAGGCCAGGCTCCATCGTTTAGTAGCTGTGTGACTTTGTTGTTGTGGGAGAGTCATAATGCCTTTATATGCCTTTCGATTTTTCATTTGTAAAATTCAGACAATAGGATTACATGTAAAGTGTTAGCTCAAAGCCTGGCACAGAGTAACTACTAAATATGTGGCCGATAGATTTAATATGCAGCTTGGAATAAGCAGCCTAACTTTTTATTTTATGTGCCCTGAATTAATTAATTAAAATATGAATACAAGTTGTCATATGAATGTTACACCTTTCATGTGATTTGGAATTTGGAATTCATTACTTCTGTATTGTATTCAAGTTGGTATTTAAAATAATACTTTGTGTTTCTTAATGGACATTTTGTTTTTATTTGAAAAATGAGGTTGCCCCTTTTTGTTTAGTCTAAAATGATAAAATATTTAAATTTCCTACAGATGTTAAAATATTTATTTTCTCTGAATTAATGGAATCAATATATATTTTAAAAATCCCACATAGTTGGATAATAAATTATTGGAATAAATATTCATTTGTTTTATATGCTCTGTGGATGTGTTAATTGCTTATACTCTAAAATTGGTTAAGTTTATTGTGAATTCTGTATTTCCCTTGATTGGCTCCATATAAACCATTATCCATGTCACTGTTTACAGTGATTTGATTAAATGATTCTTGTTAACATTCATAAGGGACATGCCATTAAATCACTCTGTTTCCTTTATGCACAATTACAAGTTTATTGCCCTTTTGCCGGTCTTCTCATTCTGTGGACCATCTGTCATCTTGTGGGTTTAGCTCAGAATTTGCCCCAGCACTTGCTGTTGCTGTCTTTTTGAGGGTATTTGGATATTGAGTCTGTTATACTATTGCTATTTTCTTGATACTTAAAAAACTGTTTCTCATTTGTAATACAGATAATTAAAGAGCGCCTATTACTAGTACTAGTAACATGAATCTTGACTATAAGTTCTCTTTTTTCTAGAAAAATCCCACAACACTTTATCTTTGCACAGATGCAAGTGTGTGTGTGTGTGTATGTGTGAATGTTTAATATTTAGAAGTGAAAATAATGATGGGATAATATAATGTCTTTGCTAATCATTGAAATCTCTAAAAGTATGGTTTATCCTGCTTTCCTGATAAATATGAGAAGGAAATTATTTCATATTTCTTCGAGATTTTTGGGGGTTGGAGACTAAGTAATAAATACAAGAATTTGTCCTTTTGATGGTAGAGAGTGAATGATAACTGTGTTACACCAGGCATGACTAAGTTGCTTCCCTTTGCCCCAATATCTAAAGAAATAGATTCATCGCTCTAATAAATAGGTCAGTGTTTAAAATGAGGACTTTGTATAACAGCTAAATATCTTAAAAATGCATAGTGAGAACCAGGCTTTTCCATTCAGTAAATTGTTCTTTCTTAAATAACCATTGTCTGTTTTTAATTCAAAGGATGGGGGAGACTTAGAACAGATTTTTCTGGGGACTAAATAAAATACTAGAGAAGCCACAATGCTCTGTGATAAGTAACTTTATTGAACCCATTGAATTTCACTGGGGCTTCAGAACAAGTCTGCTGTATGTTTAAGTTGATATTTTTATATCATTTCACAACATTTAAAAAATAATCACTGTGTATGTTGCATTTTCAGCATCTTTGCTTCCAGGAGCTTGCTCACCAGGGATGGAGACACTTAGCAATGGCCCAGGATTCCCACCAGGGGCTGCCTCTTGTTATAGTGTGAAATTTTAGGTAACGCTAGAGATTGGTGTAGAGAGCACTTACTCCTGTTTCATAAGAGATTTGTAGTTAGATCCCATTTGAAATTGACCTTTTCATTAAATAGATTCTTAGGGGACAGCAGTGGTTCCTAGGTCAGGAGGCCTCTTGGGCTTGAGAATGAGGCAAATATTCACGCTTGCTTTTGAATGTACTGTATTATTATTTCCTGTAGCTGCTGCGCTTCTAGCCGAATGCCTTTTGAAGTTCTGATCACTAATTAATTGAGATTCTTTTTCAGGAGATTCAATGTTATTAATTAAAAGTTGGAACAGTGTTTCTTATCCTTTAGAACTGGATGTAGATTTTGGTGTAGGGACCACACTTTCAATCCCCTTAAGTGACAGTAATTGAAATGTTGCCAGGTATTTGCTTGTTTGTTATTTATTTTGGCTTTTTCTTTCTACAGCAGGTTGATGTGGAAAAATGGGTATGTGTTTCCACGGGTTTGCAGAGGAACTGTGACCTAAACACGTGCACGTCTGCTGTTGCCTCTAACCCTTTCCGTGTGGCTGCCTGGTGTGGCTTGTACTGTTTGTCTTCAGAATCACTGCTGTGTTGTGATGAACGAATTGGGACAGTCTCCAGTTAGAACCTCCGTCTGGTTTGCCTCAGCTGAACTGGGGGATATTAAACGCCCTCCATCCCTAGAGCCATGTGGTTTCTGTGTAATTGGCTTTGCAAAACAATATGCTTCTGGTCGACAGGAGGGCTTTTAGTAATATTATATATCTTTTATCAAAAACCTCAACTAATCTTAAAATCCTACGGCTGAGTTCTTGTGTTTTTCCATGTACCACGGGAAACGGCTGTTACACGTATTCGTACAACCTTGAAAAGTGAGATGATCGTCAGTATCGTGAGGAGACAGTGGCAGGATTCCAGGGGCTCAGTTTGGGGACCAGCAGTGTGACAGTTGTGTGACATGGCCAAGCTCCATTACTACCATGGTCTGTTTCCTCCTCTGTTAAGTTAAGGAGCCAGAGAGAGGCGGGGGGAAGAAACAGGTAGAATTTGTTACTGTGTCGTGTCTATATTGAAGGTCACAGAGAACAGCTACCCCGCCCACTCTCCTGCCCTGTGGGAGGCTTCTCCTCTGTCCCTGGGTTAACTTAGGCTGAGTCCGGTGACCTTTCTTGTATTCAGACAGTGAAAGGCCCCCAACCATCTCAAGTCACACAGTTTCATTTTGGTGATTAAAATGCCCAGCCCTGTGCAATAAGAGGATCTGAATTTAACTCAAGTTAACTTGTCTCCACAGCTCAGCCTCTCCAGGTGGGAGGCCCCCTGCCAGTTCCTTCTGATTTAGAGTCACTCTCTCTAGACAAAGTGGGAGGAGAAGCCCTGGGCTGCTCTCCTGCTGGTATTTCAGGCACCTGTGCAGCCCAGGGAGAGATACACGTGTCCCAGGGATAAAGTGTGAGGATTACAGTAGCTTATCAGACACGTTTGTTCTCTGTTACCCTCCAAGAGAGAACTAGATAATTCCAGGTGCATATATGTGTCAGATCCATTGCACTCAAAAGAAAAGACGTCGGTTAAACACTGTGCAGAGCTGTTGATAGCGTAAAAAAGACAACAGTTGCTACCAAACTGCCTCCCAAATACTGTGAATTCTTCTTAAAAATGCCAGGATGCCAGTGCTGGTCATGAGTGTGGGTAATGTGGGGCATGGCCGCGGGGCACGGCCGAGGCTGTGTCATCACACGTGCAAGCGGGAGCCCAGCTCCTTTTAGATGCTTCTGGGGCTGACATCCACACGTCTGTCAACAGTGCAGTCTTGTATATTGTCAGTGGGGAGCCTAGAAAATTAAGCAAAAACATGGGATTTTTTAAAAAAAATTCTCACTTGATGTTTTATTGAATTTTAGAGAAGGAAGGAGAGGGAGAGGCAGAGGGAGAGGGGGAGAGACGAATGGGAGGTGGGAGGAGGGAGGAACTACGAGGTGAAGGAGGAACATTAGTCGGTTGCCTCCCATAGGCGCCCTGACCAGGGATTGAACCCCCAACCTTATTTTTGGCCTGTGAACAATGCTCCAAGCAACTGAGCCACCTGCTCAGGGCTATGTGGGATATTTTTATCATAAAACAAATAGCTGAGGTTTTCCACAAGTGTATATTCAGATATACTGTTGGGTAGTATATACTGATACGTGCTTGCAACTTGAAATTGTGGTCTTAAGTTCCTTTTGTCCCCTAAAAGGAATTTGCTAGGAGCATCATTAATCATCATTAGTTTAAAATAGCCACCAACAAGCCCAGGTCTTTGGTGGTGAAATAACTCTTTTGTCAGCGTAGTGCAGTCTAACAGATTGCCCTCCCTCCTAGAGGAGAGGTTACCAGTTGGAAGGTGAGGAGAATCCTGGCGTCTTGATTCATGGAGAGAAAGACTGCAGAAGAGCCCACAGTGTGGTGGTTGTTTGTGTGCAGGTGGGACAGTCCATTGGGAGGAGGCCTGAGCCAGAATTCGGCCCCGCCTCCAGGATGGTCACATTTGGTCACTGTTTCTCGGAGTCCCCAAATGTTTATTTTGTTGCTTTGTTGCTAATTCCTTATTTTTATAATTTTTGAGAAGACATTTTAGCAAAGGTTCATTTAAAACTTCTAAGACAAATCCATATACCAGGAATATTAATGTTTTCGATGACTTTTCCTTTCAAGACACTGAAATAACTGTAAAAAACTGTCAAGGTTGAGCTGAAAGGCATAGTTATGGTGGAAGAGCTTTTTCTGTCACCCGAATTCCTGTTTGTTTCTTTGAATAAACAGTAACAGGTTGGATATAATTATGCCCTCTCTCAGTGTCCAACGTTTGATTACAATTTTCAAAATAAAGTATTGCAATTCTATTTTTCTACTCATAACCATTTACATATGCCGAGAAAATGCTTGAGGCCTTTTGGATCTACAGGGTCGCATGATACTCCCTTCTTTTTGTCACTCATCAGACTCTGAGGCCACTTGTGCTTGAGTTAAAGTTAACTCTGGTTTCACCCCCTGATGCAGGCGGGGGTCATGCCCTCAGCTCTGGCTCTCGCTTAAGGCTTCACCTGACCTGTTAGTTCTGAAGCCGTTAAACTAGACTGGGACAGTCGTTACTGCCATTTGCAGTTTCAGCCTAAAAAACTAAAATCCCCTGTTTGTGTTTCTGTGTAATTCATCATTATCCGCAAATTTCCTTAAGACAGAAGGCACGTCAGGGTCTAGACTGGTGCCTGGACTTGAATTGTCTTTAAGATCATCTGTTTCTGTATCTTGTTTGATGAAATTTTAGCTCTTATCTAATGAAATTTTCATGAGGAAAATAAATTAATTTCTTTATTGAACTTACCAGAAGCATAAAAATTATATTCTTTACACTGAAATTGAAGCTGTTTTCTTCAATATTTAACTTTCTGCATGTGTTTTGCTTTTTTTTTTTTTAAATCATGTCATCACCTTCAGAAAGATTTACGTTGCTCTTTTTCTGTTGCTGTTTATCATACCTGTGCTCTGTGTACGTTGAGATTAGAATAATATATTTGTCCTTTTTGTTTTAATGTGTCTTTCTTTCTTGCCCTTGAGTGATCTTTCTTGATAAGCTAACGATATTATAACTTTGGCAACACCTGGCCCTTAGGCTAACTTGACAGTAGGTGACTTGTACAAAAAGTAATGCCACAAATAATCCTTCCATTTCTTATCTTTCCAAAACAACGTGTCTTTTACACCTGCCGTTCTTTCCCCTGTAGGAGGATGTGAGTCTGCCGATTGCTCGTATTTGTTCTATCTCACTGTCCCCATGACTTGCTCTGCCCACAGCGTCCACAGCTTAGGCATCCAAACACTGGGCGCCAATAACTCCACTGACCGCTCCTTTTTGTACTTAGCACAATTCTAAAGTAATTCAATCTAGACAACTGACAAAGTAAGACTGAGTACATTTCTGAAAGAAAAATCTTCAATTTAACCTCATGAAGAAAGTATCTGTTAAAAACCATGTTCTGCAGCAAAATTTTGGAGTTTTTGTTTTTTTTAAATTAAGGCTTAAAATGACTTTTCCTAATTCTTCACGTAGTGATATCCTTTTGAAACCAGACACAATGGGTCTGAGGCTGTCTGCCACTGCTTGAGCCAAATTAAGCAGAAACTGGGTTGAATCACATATGTGCGTGTATTCCAAGAATGCCAGCAGTATGGGAGAGCAGCCGGCTGCCCTGGAAATTCTGCTCTGACCCCCCTTCCCAGTTGTTTGACTATATACCCGTGAGGAGAAGATAACTCGAGCAGCTGCAGGGGCAAGTGTAACGGAAAGGGGAGGGGAGGGTCTGCAGTCCGGCCCTCAGGAGCCAAAGTCCTATAACCAGGTGGCTAAACTTCTATGATGTTACAAACAGCTCAGCACGTTCCTGGGACCAGAGAATGGTCAGCGTTCCTGAGGCAAACTCCCGGAGGGGGTCAGGGTCCGGGCACAGCAACTGAATCAAAGCGTGTCCTGTCCTTGGTCTGTTCTCAGAATGTATTTCTTTTCTGAGTGATGGACCCACCAAGGCTTCTCTTTTTACAGCCTTGTTTCACCCTCCTGTTTCCCAGGGTCTGTAAGAAAATCTCAATCTCTTATCTATAATTAGTAAGGTGAATAATTATTTAACATCTGTGGCTCTATTCTTATGACCTGCCCTCCTGCCCTGTCACTTTAGCGATCACATGTAGGCCCATGATTGTTTGGTTTCAACACGAACAGTAGTCACCTGACGTCATTTCCATTGATATCAGTAACAGATATGCAACCAAACAGCCTGTACTTTCCAATCATAAGATGAAATGGTTCTTTACAACTTTTCCTAGAAATTATAATATTAAAAATGAAAAAATCAGTCACAGTAGAATTGTCACTGAGTAACACACATATCACTATGTTTCTATGTTTCAGGGGACCAACTGTGGTATCTATAAATGTGTAGATTAGAAAACCTGCTGTTTTCTGTAAAGCTAATGTGGATTCATGTATCTTTTCTCTGTACGACTGCGATGCTTGTGACAACTCCATTTAGTCCTAGGTTTGGAAAAGTAACGTCATTTCCTCTTAGCTCTTTTCATCTGTGTATGTGTCCTAGGGGTAGGTTAAAGAAACGTTATGGCCTAAAGGGAAACTAAGGGATATATGCATATATCATGTTTTGTAGAAGAAAAAAGAGCTATTATAAATCATGAGAAGAGGCCGTGTCTTTTTAAGAGAAACGTTTCTGTGATGTTTTCTTTGGAACTCATGTCTCACAACGTGTGGTGATGAGGGAGCTGCTCACGGTGATTTTCATCTCAGCACATTAGCAACAAACAGTCTTACCTGCTTCTAACCCACTGTTTTTACTAAAATTAGTTGTGTTGCTGTTTATATCACTGCATTTTCATGCAGAAGATGAAATGAAAAGGTTTTAAAAGCATTTTCAGAGTATAATTTTAAGGTTATATCTTTGGGGGTTTTCAGTTCTTAGATATGTTGTAAATTGACCACACATTAAAGTACACAGCATGTTTCACAGAAGAAGGGAGGACTGATGTAAAAACATTTTCAAAAGCGTTTTTGCTTGCTCCAGCTTTTACCTGGCATGCAGTTGATATTGTTTGTTGTGACAACACCGCGAATGTGTTTTTGTATGTTTATTATTCACATAATTCCAGTTAGAAATCTTTATAAATAAGAACTTTAAAAATGTCTTTAAAATAATATATATTTAATATTTTCTCTCTTTTCTTCTGCCCCCACAGAAATTCATGATGAAGGTAAGACATTGGATTGTCTGCTGTATGTTTGCTTTGTGCTTTTTAAGTCGCGTTTAATTTTTGAATTCATGGCACTTTTCTTCACATTCTAAAATTTCAGAAATTAAATAAAACTTTAGAGCTTTTAACTTTAAATGAATCAATTACATATTTAGATTTGTCAACTTAATAAACAGTATTTGACATCTTTGTGTCATATGGTAACATACTAAGTTAACTTAGCCAAGAATTTTCCCATTAAAACAGACATTTTTCCTAGCTCTCCACTGAGCCTGTTCCCTATGGGGGTTGCACGGGCTGTCCTGGGTTTCAGCACTCCCGCACGAACACAGTAGGACATTCAGATGCCGGGAAGTTAGAAGAGGCACTGAAAAGCTGCTTGAGCTTTGCTTCCTCCAGGAGACATGAAAACAGTTCAGTCGCTTTTCATTTTTCAACCAACTGGAAAAACATAGGCTTTAAAAGGAGACAGGAGAAGAGCGCAGGGCACAGGGTCATGGTGGCGTTGAAGGAAATGGAGTAGGGGGAGCAGGATGTCATTTTCTGGGACAAGAAGTAGAAGGTTTTGATTTCAGTTTTAAGCACCTACTTCTTTTCTCATATAACAGCTGAAAGGTTAAGGTCGGTGGTGCGTCGGTGGTGCATGGGCAGGCTAAACAGCTGTCTCAGACTGTGGATAAAGAAAAATTGAATTTATTTAAGGAATGGGGCTGGGGGATGGGGGTATCCAAAGAGAAGGGCTACACAGCACTGAGTCAAAGGGTATTGGGTCCATGATGGCAGCAAAAATATACTTAGGACGGTGAGATAAGGAGGAGCATAGAAGCAGCCACAGGAGAGCCTCGCCGGGGAGTCAGAGAGAGAGGGGGCCCTGGAGACAGGTTCAAGGGGTAGGCCCAGGGCGCTCTGTTGCTGCCCATTGCTCCCCTGGTTGCAAGTCTCGTTGGTCCCCTTGGAGGGAAGAAGGGGGGTGGAGATGGCACTGGTGTGCTCCCCTCGTGGGGAGTGCACCCTGGGTCCTTGGTCCTTTGTATTTATGTCTTTCTTGCAGGTGGAAATCTGAGGGGAGGTCTCAGGGGAGGGTTGCAATAGAATATTCATCAGCTTTCAGGGTCGTGGTCTCTGCTGATTGGTCGGTGCCGGGGCAGGGTTATTAGTCAGTGGAGCTGGTCCTGAGGCAGCCCTGACGCCACTCGTCTGGTTTTGCCACTTTTCTGAGCCTGGAGCTGAAATTCAACTGAGGCCTAGATGTTATCTTTAGGGAGGAAACACTCAGGGATCTAAACCGCAGGACCAGCAATGTGCTGGGGGAGATAGGTTACCTGGGGAAGAAGGTTGTTGTTTTACCAGTTTTGCTCCTTGCGAGGCATCCGGGGCTTTTTGCCCTGGTGGGTTTCTGTACCTGGGTTTCTGTATCCAGCCCATCATCTTTGCTCAGCTCATGTGTGCCTAACAACAATCACAAAATTTAATTTTTAATTTTAAAAGTGAAGAAACAATGTATAGAGAAATTTACTGTATTCAGTTAATAAAGTTTAAAATTTCAAAAGAACATCATTTCAGAAGATACCATCTCTGAAAAGTGTTAAATCAAAATTCTGGTGTCGAGGAAGAGGCTGCTTGGAAGGGAAGGAAGCAGGGTCCGCGCCTGGCTGAGTGGCTGAGCCGAGTCTCGTTCACACGAGACAAGATGGGACCAGGACGCCTGGGGTGCATAGCCAGGGCCCTGTGTTAGCACGAAGGTGACAGTCTGAACAGGACGGCAGAGCAGTAATTTGCAACCCTTTATCAACAAGGACACAAAACGTTTTCCAAAGTTTCAAGTGACTCCGGCTGTTATCTTCCAGCAGAATAAAATACTCTTATTACATGGGGAAGAGAGGACGTTCATCAGCTACTCAAACATATCGTGAAACGAGGGTTTTGGTTAGGAAATTTATAAACAGCAGCAGACAACCATGTCCTCTCCTGGCCCATATTAATAAGTAACTAAAGAGTTTGAAAAAATTCAGTTTTCTTGCTAAGTCTGCGTTTACTGTCCTTGTTCATCTGTCTTGCCCCATCCCAACCCCTTCGCCGTGGGAGGAGGGTGGAGGGAACCGTTGCCTGAAACACAGACCTCAGGACCTTGCATGAGAGCAGAGTCGTATAAAAATCAAGGCGCATCGAGAGGATGGCAAAAGAGCCTCAGCTGGTGGACCTCGGACACTGGAGCTCGGCCCTGGCTCCCCTTCCTGTGGGCCGGAGCCTCGCGGCAGATGCTCACGCCTGCCCTGGACCGTCAGAAGGTTCGAGTGTGACCAAGCAGAGGGCTTGTGCCATCAACGATGGGAATTTAAACCGTGGGGAAGGGAAAGGATGGAAAATGCCTTCAGCTGCCACCTTTCAGTCAGGATTTGGACAGGTGTTGCACAGCCGCCTAGAACCAGGCCGACGCATCCTTGGGGTGGGAGCCGGTTCCTGCTGTTGGTGCTGAACAGTGATCGTCAGTCCTGCCATGGGCCTGGTCTACCCTGGGGGACCCTTGGCTAAAACGCCATCACGAGCAAGCCCTCCAGTGCCAAGCGGCTGCGCCCAAGACAGTGTTCGGCCGGCTTCTCGGACATGTTGCTTTTGCGCTGAAGGCAAATTTCTCATTGATCACTGGAATCATCCTGTGAACCTGTCACGACTCACTGGTGGAGGTGGCAGGGCAGCTCGAGTAGCTCCTGCTTTGAAGGACCCACAGGGGGACCAGCAGTCCCTGTGCTCCTGACACCCATGTCTGCATGGGCAGGTCATTCTCAGGTGATGAGAAACTTACACTCAGAGATATTTTTTATTTTTCTCCCTGAAACAACTCATTACCCAAGTGTTATGTATAATATTTGAGGGTAAACTCAAATATCTGAGCCCTGAGAAAGAAGGGCTCTAAAGCAAATTTCTTTGGTTGTTGCCTCTTGTTTTAAACTTTGGCGGTGAGGTTCAGTTTGCCCACAGTAATGCACACCCCGGAGGACTTCCTCCTGTACCTCCCTGGTGGCAGGTGGTGTGCTAGCGTCGAGGGATACAGAAAAGTTTGCTGTGGAGTCTGATTTATCTAAAAAACACCTCTTGCATAAGGAGGGCCTGGAATTATGAGAAATGATTAACATAGCATTTTTGTATAGAAAAACAGAAAACCTTAAATATTTAGTAGTTATATAGCTAGCAAATCAGTTTTTAACATATTAGTACTAGAGACATGTTAATACATGTTAATACACAAATATATAGTACAAACATGTATTTAAAAAACACAGAGCCAAAACCACAAAACACAGAAACAGAACTTTTATGTGTATACAAACCTCTGCAGTTGATCTTAGCCAATACTATCCTGGTTTTATGTATTATTATTTTTTGGCTTCTTATATGCATTGTAAGCACATGACAGTAAAACGTCAGATGTAGGTACAATGATCCAGTCTGCCCCCTCCCCACAGGGGATGACAGATAGATAAATTATGCCCCAGGACTGCATCTGATTCTAAACAAATATAAGTGTAGAAGCATTTCCATCAGAACTGTTGCTTACAGTATGGGTCCCCTCGTTCGACATTTTTGGTGAGATCCTGGAAGCCTAAGGCTAAATGGTATTAAAATAGTTTGTGGAAAACTCGAGGTGAGGTTCATTTAGAACACATACGACATGTGCTTCGATTTTCTTTGAATGTTTTCTCAACTTTTAAGTCCATCTATAGTTCATGAGTTTGGATTTTTTTAGACTGTTGTGTAATGCTAACCCTGTCAGTCATCTCAGGGGTAATGGGACCAGACCCCCTACAGATCTCAAAAACAATTTTTAACTGATACTTTCAGAAAGTCAAATTTTACCTTTTATTAAATGATACTTGGCTCTGCAATTCCAGGAATATGTAGAGGGAAGATTTTGAAAATGGTAGTTGTTGTTAATTTCTCCCCTAAAAGGACAAAAGCTTCTAGACCCCCATAGCCTATGAGGTGAGTATGTAACAGAAGCTATATCAGGATCCAAGCTCTGCAGCCGGGCCACCAGGGCTGGGGACAGCTCACTAAGGACACCCCAGGCTCAGCCGGTCAGGAGGGCTGCTGGTGTGGTGGGCTGACATTGCATTTCCAGGGACAGATGGATTCCAAGTCACTTGAAAATGTAGGGATGTGTAAGTTCCAGGTAATACTTGTACTAAAAGGACCTGATAATCCATCATGTAGTTGGAGGTATTGAGAAACAGGCAAAGAATTAGTTCTTAAACTTTCATTTTTTTTGCTGATAGAGAACAAAGACCTTGAAGGAAATTACATGGGGCTTGGTGTGTAGTTGTTGAATGAATGCATAAGGCAAAGGAACAGACTGTGAGCTTGTTATGTCTGCACAGTGCCCTCAGCATCATGCGCTATACTCCCAGACAGTAGACGCCCATAAACAGGTACATTCTAATCCTCACCGAGGATGTTTTTATTGGTCTTAGAGAGAGAGGAGGGGGAGGGAGAGAGAAACAGCGATGTGAGAGAGAAAGGTCGATTGATTGCCTCCCATACGCACCCGGACCAGGGATCAAACCTGTAACCTGGGTATGTGCCCTGACCGGGAGTTGAACCAACAACCTTTCGATGTACAGGACAATGCTCCAACCAACTGAGCCATGCTGGCCATGCCACCCATAAATATATTTTGAATGAATAGGAAAAGATGTGTAATATTTACTGGAGAATTAGCAGGACTAACATATTGGTGGCATTAAAGTGAACTGAAGGCGTATTTGTGTTACTTAAAACAAAATTTCCTGATTCTTTTTTTATTTGGTGCAACTGCTCACTTTACTTATGTTTTAGATTCCAAGGAACAGTTAACAGGTTAACTTCCAAAATCACCAAGATTTTTCTTTTTTTTGAGGTCTGATCTTGAAGGCAGGCCAGCCTCAAGCTGGCTGCCTCAGTAGCTCACTTGACAGGCATCTGGTTGGTCCTGGATGGCTTCCCAAAGGTCTGGTGGTCATATCATGCGCTATAGGTTTAGGTTTGGGTGGGCAGAGGGAGAGGGACCCTGCTCCAGAAGACTAAATTACTGCTGCTTTTGATGTAGCTGTCACCGGCAGTGATGGTCAGTCCTCACTGAGACTGAGCAGGGGTGTCTGCAGCCCTCCTGCAACCCCAGAAGTGGCACCATCTTCATAAAGTACCTAAGCCCCCTACATTGGAGGAAGTCCGTAAATACAGGGTGGGCCAACTGTGAACCTGCTTTTGTCCACCCTATGTTTAGTTACATAGGTTAAAGAAGGACTGGCCACATTCAACAAGAAAATGAAGTCATGCATCAAATTAAAAAACACAGGAAAGAATCACTTACCCCTTTGGATTCATCCCCACACACAGTTCTTCTGATAAATGTTTGTTGAATGAATTAAGCTACCCAACCGGCTCCAAGAGTTGAAATTACACATTTTATTTTATCGGAAACTGAGTCAGTTAGATTAATGTTTAAAACGACAAGTTAGAAGAAAAGTACAGTAGCACATGTGACAGAAACGGCATCACTTTGTGATAGCAATGACATAATTAGTAACAATTAATTTAGTGTGGGTTAGGTGCAAACTTGGATGAGTTCTATTAAAACTAAATCGGGCATAATTGGCGAGGAAATCTCTAGTTAAAATCTATAATTGTGTAAAATCTATAGTTGGAAGAAAACTTAGTCACTGAAATGTCTCCTCTTAGCTTAGCCAATTTGCACATTTATACATATGTTCATATAAACATGAAATGCGTGGGCAGAACTTTACAGTAAAAGGAGCACTTAATCATTTTGGGTTAAGTCTTTTAAAGTCTTGTTTTGACTGATGTGACTGTCAGGAAAGTTCAGCTGGATCCCGTCTTTGGAGCTGTATCTGGTGTAAGAGTTCGGCTCTTGTCACAGCAGTGCAAACCAGACAGGTCAGTAAAAGTGTCCTTGGCCACAGTAGTCACATGTATCACAGAAAACTAGGGTGCTTCCCACAGAGGCCTTGTGCTGAGTGGGAATGTAATTTTACAAAGTACATTTCCCCCCTTTTCTTTCAGTATGTGAAAAAGTGACTTCCCTTTTGTTTTAAAAGCAGCTTTTAAATAATTTTAATAACTTTTAATATCGATTTTAAGAATGGTTCTGAGGTCTTTAGAGCATACTGTGTAAAGTTATTTTAAGAGAGTATTTGAAACATTTGAGAGGGATATATTTTTAGTAAAAAGTATGATAGTATTGATACTAAAGCACAGGCTGTACACTTCTCAAGGCGTATGTATCAGTCTCATCAGTCTCATCCCTAAAACACTCAAAGACACCCCTTTCCTTTAGAAAAAAAGTGCAAAGCCCTTGGCTTAACTTTCTGTACCCTCTGTGATCTTACCCTGATCCAGTTTGATGGGTCCTGCTCAGTTTCTGCGCCCACCACTGCACTCCGTGGTCCCTTCCCTTCGGAACACCTTGCCTTGTGAACCATGACACCTCGGGTCACACTCCTCACCCAGCCTGGACGGGGCTCCCCCATCAGTTCCTCGTTTATCAATGTTGACTGAGGGCTTTGTGCTGAGGGCTCAGGTCTCTGTCCTTGAGGACTTCACAGTCCGGCCCAGAAGAGAAAGTGCTCAGTTTGTGGAGTGATAAGGCCGGGTACCTGGGGCTGTAGAGCACTGAGGGAGCAGCTAACGTTGTGGAAACCAGGTGAGGCTTCCCGGAGGAGGTAGCCTTGAACCTGAGTTTTGAAGCACAGCTTATGAGGTAGAAAACGCCAGAGTGAAGGCCATCATGCCCTGAGGCAGCGCCAGGAAAGCAGCGTGCCCATTCTGGGCAGGGAAAGTGTGTGGTCGGAGCTTGGGGTGTGGGAGGTGGCCAGAAAGGGTTGAGACAGAATGTTCTCTATACTTGTACTTCTCCAAGTGTGGCCCCAGAACAGCACCGGCATCACCTGGGACCCTTTCGAAGTGAAAATGCCTGTGTTTACCCTGGACCTGCTAAGTCAGGCCCCAGGGGCAGGCCCAGGAGTCTGTGTCAGCCAGCTCCCCGGGGGCTCCTGTGCACACTCACATTGCGAGGCAGTTCTCTAGCTCGTGTGAAGGAATTTGGACTCTTTCCTATAAACAGTTGGAAAGTATGAAAGGTTTTTAAGCCTGTGGGTGATTTGATGGATTTTGTATTTTCGGAAGTAAGGCTCATTCACTGAGCAAGGTGCTTAGTCCTTGCTGTGTGCCAGGCTTCCTGCTGGGCACATGGGGACGGTGGGACCAAGGAGCCGTCATCCCTCCCTCGCAGTGCAGAGCACATGCAGTGAGAGACACAGACAACAAATAACTGAATAAATAGTCACAAGTCATACTAAGTATTTACTGAAATCAGCCCTTTCTTCCTGAACTGGGTGACCTGCACCCCTGTGCAGGTCGTATGGACACTTCAGTCCACATGAGCATCTCCCCACAGCACTTGGCTGCCTGTACTAGCTCTTAACTTTTCCTTGAGAACAGAACTTTTTATTGACTTACTAAGTTTACTGCTTTGGTTTTTCCTCTCTTGTCGACCCTGTGTCCTTCCTCCCCAGACTGCTCAAGGCAGTGGTCACCGGACGCTCCTCTACGGACACGCCATACTGCTGCGCCACTCCTACAGCGGCATGGTGAGTAGGCGCGGCGCGCCCCCTCCCGGGTGAGCCCCGCACTGGGCCTCCTGGCCACTCGGGACAGCGAGGGGCGCGTTAGTGGGCTTGGACGCATCGTGTCGAATGTCTGCACCCTGTCCAGTTCTCTCGTTTGATGATTAGCTTAGATGACCTTTAAGGTCCTTCAATTCTCTCGTCATATGGCTCCTGTTTTTAGTATTTCACTTTTGATAGACTAGTTTTAGAAGATGTGTTAAGAGTAAAATAAGAAATATTCCTCATTTCTGGTGTTGTTTTAAACAGTTTATTTTTACTGAAAGATAATATTAGAAAATCTGCCTGAGTCCCACTGTCAGTTTCCCGCTAACGTCTCTTCCTTGGTGACCAGATGTTCCCTTTCCCTTCCCACATCAGCTCCTCCTCTCACCCATCTTCCCCTCACCCATCGAGCTCCTCTCAGGCTGATTACGCCCGGTTTACTATATATATGTATTATTTGTATTCATGTATTTTATTCTTATATGTGTAAAATACATAAAAGTTTCAATCTGTTATTTTAAATGCTTTATTAAATTATACAGACAATACATCTTCATCCTATAAGATTTGGAAATTATGGAAATTACAGAAGGAAAAATCTTCATGATGACACTAATGAGAGAAAATTCGTTGGAGTGTTTAAAATAAATTTCAGTGTTCTTGTCCTTAAATTTTGTTTTTACATAATTGAGATTTTACTGCATAACTACGTTGTTTTACACATAAGCACAGCTTAAGCATTATTTAAATTCTTCATCAAGCTGATTTTAGTAACATGATAGTCCAGTATCTGGAAGTATAATATAATCTATTTTTCCTTTTGAAAAGAAGGTCATGGGCAAATATGTAAACTGTTCCAGAGCAGGAGACTAAGCATACCTCAATAGCAATAATACAAACCCCACAAAGACCTGTCAGTCTCCACCATGACTACTGATGTGAAAAGTCTGGTTAATAAAATTCAAAAGTGCAGGAAAAGTGCAGATAGGAACTTAGGACTAATAACATTTTGTTTAGTGCGCAACATTGCATTAGTAGGCCAAGTGGGAAAACTACAGTCATCTTAGTGGGTGCTGGGAAAGGGTTTAATGAGACTCCGCGTCCATTTCTAGTAACCAGTGCTGAAGAAAATGTCACTGTCTGAGCAGTGGCCATCTTCTGAAACGCTAAAGCCGTTCTTGGCGGAAGAAAGGTGAGCAAATAAAGAAAGCAAGAATAGGCGCGCTCACACCGATGGGAGCCTTGGCTGCCATAGCGAGATATGAAATAAAATAAAGGAAAACACTTGTACGTAAAACAACCTGTCTGCATGTAGCAGTCATGCATCCCAGCTCCTTGGAGAGAATTCCACTCTCACTGGCCACCAGACAGTGAGCGGGAGAGTCTGTTTCAGAGAAGTGCTGTGCGTACGTAGCAGGCGGGTCAGAGCCTGGACAGGCTGGAGGACCTGGCTCGGGCTTGCTTTCCCACACGCTGCCAGCCTTGGATACCCCGCTGGACTCTGCAGGCCTGTAATTGCATCTGAGAATTTCATCCATTCATTCCGTCAGTATCACTTAGCCCCTGCGTGTGCCGGCTCTGCCCTAGGAGCTGGGTATAGTGGTGAGTGGACCAGGTCCTTGCCCTCCTGGAACTTGCCTACACCTCAGTGGCATAATCACAGTGTCCGCCTCAGTGGCCGTGGCATTGTGGGAGGAGACAGTGTGTTGATGGTGACTGTGCCCAGGACTGTGATGTTACTGAGAAAGGGTTCAGAAGACTTGAATAGGATCATTTATGTTTTTGCCTAGGAAGTCCACTGTGAAACTTTTTCTCAAGTAAAGTTAGACATTTAGTACATTTAAGTCAAAGTCCATACACCTCAAGGACCTGTCTTGGATCAGACTCACAATCCTCCGCTGGCCAAGAGCCTGTGAGGACCCTTGAAGCCCCTTTTCTATGACTTTGGGAGCCAGGGCTCTGTAGTCAGGAGACAGAATCGGGTTAGTTTCATTTCACATCCCCAGGACACCGACGGTCACGTGACGTGCTGGCACGTCTGTCCCTGGTCGCTCATCTCCTGCCTCCTCACACTAACGGACACCCACTGAGCCTGCCCTTGTCCACAGGAGGAGCTGTCCGTGGTTCTGGGAGTTCTGGGTGCTCGGTCCCAGCCCTGTCCCAGCCCTGTGTGCAGGGCCCTGTCCTCACTGGCGGTGCACTGGGTGGGTGTAGATGGTAGTGTCTTGAGCTCAGACAAACTCATCTCTGTCTCCTATGGCTGTAACACTTATCAAGGTTTATGAGGTTGGGGTGGGGACAGGGGAGGAGGCCTGAGAAATTATCCTAAAGTTCATGTTCAAGAGTATAGATTAGGAGAACTTTTGGGGAGTGGCAGAAGTAAGGAGACGGTGGTGTTGCGAGAGTTGGGGTCCTCCTGGGAAACACATGTGCGTCCACGTGATAAACCTCACCCAGGGGCAACATGCTACTCACCCAGATCACATCTGGGTGCACCTCAGAGTTAAAATTTACAGATGAAAACACAGCTGGAAGGTAAAAGTGAACAGTTTTCAAGGTTCTGTTGGAGAAGATCTGTCAGATCCGGCTCCACTCCTGCTCCCCATCCTGGAAATCACACGGGTGAGAGGATGCACCCCGCCCCGCTCCCTGTCTTTCACCACAGCACCCTCTCCTTAGTCTTTGTGTGGCAGATGTGACCGCATTGCCATTGCTCCTGTGAACCCGGGTACCGTGGAAAACCAGGCTTCCCTCAGAAGCATCCAGGTTTGATGCAGCAGAGAGAGACTGGCACCAAATTGTGTGTCAGAGTTCCACTGGAGGGGCCTCTAACTGTGTAGTGACAGCTGCTGGTTCTGTGTCCTGCAGTACCTGTGCTGCCTGTCCACCTCCCGGTCTTCAACGGATAAACTGGCCTTCGACGTCGGCTTGCAAGAGGACACCACAGGTGAGCCTGTGGTCCGCGCTGAGGCTGGGGGCAGAGGCTGTGCTGGACGGAGCTGGGAGGCACCGTGAGGGTCAAACAGACGTGGATTATATATTTTTGAAACAAAATTGTGTATATTAACACATTTATTCTTTCAGAGAATCCAGATAGGAGAATGTAAGCTCTATTTGTGTTTTTGTTCTCAATGCTCTGACTTTACACTTTACATACTTCTGAACATTTCGACTGTGTTATCTTTTTATCTTTACAGTGAGCATGCATGACTCTGGAATTAAAAATAAGTAAAAGACCAAGTAGAAAAAAGAATGGGAGGAAATAGACCAACTATTACTAAGTTGTTCCCTGCACGGGTAGGATCGACCTGTTTTGCACACACCTTCTTCTTTTAAAAATACCCACAGTCTAAAGTTTTCACAGACTACAAATGGATCAAAATGACCAACTTAGTTAAGCTTTTAATAAAGGGACACATTGCCTTATACACAAAATTCTGAGTCTCAAACCTCAAAAATATAAATGTATTATTTCTTTTTCATTTTATGTAGGCTCGGTCATTTCCCTGTATTTTTGCTGTTGTTTCTTTTTTTTTTTTTTAAGTTTTCTCATTGTAGTAATTTTCTTCAGCACAAAATTACCTAAAAGAGAAAGTCTTCAGTTCTCTCTCTCAGACGTGCAGGACACGCACGGTGGGAGAGTTGTTTCGTATATTGAGGCTGCAGGATACCAGCAGGCAGCCCCCTCCCGCACCAGGGCTTACGCTGCGGTCCCCGAGTTCTCCGCTGTCTGAGTTACTAGTTAGTCAGTGTACTCACCATTCGTCACGTGCGGCCTTGATCAGAACTAAAATCACAGGCAGATGATGTTTTCTTTTTTATGGCTGTATCCCCAGCTGCTAGAGCAACAATGCACAGAGTGTGGGGGCTTTATAAATGTTTGCGTGAACAAATGAAAAACTCCTTTCTCTAAGCACATGAGTTGACTGAGTAGAGATGAGGAATCCTCTAAGACCCTCAAGGAAGACCGCGGCTGTGAGAAAAGCCACTCAGGGCACCGGTTACGTATTCACTGTAAACATGCTTAAGAAGCAGTATTTGCTGATTCACTTACTCACTTATGCAAAATGAATTTGTATTGAGTGGCAGAGCATTAAAAACAAAAACGCTGGCCTCTGGGGAAGCCCCGGCGAGCAAAACATGAGAGGCCCCTGCTGTTGCGGAACTTACGTTCTGGCTTTGGGGAATCAGACAACAAAACAAGTGTTAATGGAAAAGTAAGCTGAGCAGAGGGAGAGAAGCAAGATCTTAGATAACATGTCACTAAAAAATTCTCATTTTTGCACAGAACTTACGTTTATGTTTTAAAGGGAACTATGACTGACCCTGCTGGTGTTTGATTCTCGGTCAGGGCACGTGCCCGAGTTTCGGGCTCGATCCCCAGTAGGGGAGTGCAGGAGGCAGCCTGTTGATGATGCTTCTCTCTCATTGATATTTTTCTCTCTCTCTCCTTCCCTCTAAAAATCAACAAAAACATTAAAAGGAACTATGACCAGGCTGAGGAATTGTGTGCTAATTTGTATCTTAGGTTATAGCACTGAGGAATGGAGAACGGGCCTGTAGTTCATGAGGCTTATGAATGACTTGTTCTAGAAGAAATTATTTGATTATACCCAGATATTTTTATAAAGTATCCTTTTATAATGGGATTCTCTTTTATTTTACCCTTAGATTAATAGAAACAACCACATTTTTAAATAACAAAATAATGCATAGGATAGTAGTTTTGATGATAACAGTTGCACCCATTTTAAATCAGCACCCCCCAAAAGTATAGGGTTCTTTAAATAAAGCACATGGATCTTACACTAAGAGGCTCCTCTGTGTTGCACCCCCCACCCCCCAGGCGAGGCTTGCTGGTGGACCATCCACCCCGCCTCCAAGCAGCGGTCCGAGGGAGAGAAAGTGCGCGTGGGCGATGACCTCATCTTAGTGAGTGTGTCCTCCGAGAGGTACTTGGTAAGTGTGGACGGTAGGGCACAGACTTGGTGAGATGATAAATGGCAGGTCAATAAAACTACCTCTTTAAAGTTTAGATTGCAAATTTTCCAGGAAAATTGCTTAGAAACAAGCCTGTATTTCCATTTGATGAGATATAAATAACTCCCGGGTAGGGGAGGGGTGTAACTCTCGGAGGTGCGGCTCCGCAGGCCCGTTTGGACGGGCTCCTGTGCGCCCTGATGCCTGCTCAGGACACTGTCACTAATAGCACCAGGTGCAGTCTGAGCAGCAATTCAGAAACTGTTCTGCAGCCATGAGAGGCTGCATTAGTGAGGTTGTGATTACCAATGTGGATATTTAAGAAAGCAAATTCTTATGTGAGAAATACTTGCCACGTTAAAAAAGCAGAAATGGATGAAGTAAGAATAGGTTGAGGTCTCTCGTTGACGTTGCATTGTTTCAAGCGTAGAGGCTGACGGTGGGGAAATGAAGAAAAGATTATGTTTAATCATTAAACGTAGATTTATTTTGTGGTGAGGCCAATATATATGTATTTAATAGAGCTCATTTAGTGAATTGTGTTTTTGCTAAAGAATAATCATTTGCAGAAGTTTGCAGATTGAAAGATGCCAGTGCAAAGTATTATTATTATTATTTTATTTTCTGTCAGCTTTATTTCCATTTTGTTTAGGAGTTTGTGGATGGCAGCTTAAGACCACACCATGGCTGTCCCATCTGCCTGGTGGCCTGAGCCGTGGGGCTGCAGGTGGCCTTCAGTGGCAACACTGAGCTGGCCCAGAGGGCACCTGGCCTGCAGACCAGTCTGCCACCTCAGGTGGAGCAACAGTGAACTTGGCAAAATATTATTTTTATCTTAGGGTTGAAAACTTTAAACAAATATAAGGTGGGTGTTGTGAAATTTACGTGAATACTCACAGAAAAGCCCACGTGTGTCAGCGGATGATGATTGAGACAAAATCAGAAAGAGTGTTGCCGTTGAGCCCAGGCCGTCCATGGGTGTGTGTTCCCACGGCTGTGGCACATCTCATTTGTGTATTACCAACTTCAGGTTAAGTGAGTAGTTGGTACCTCTGCTCTATGAACATGGCAGTAGGGTGGGTTTGGGGGTTTGCAAATCAGTTTTTGCTTATGAACATGTTTAGTTCCGATTTTGAAATGTTTCTTGGAGGAGGGTTTGTGTCACTTGCTTTGTGGGAGGCATGATGGGAACAGGCAGGGGTGACGGGGCTCAGAGGCCTGCAGGGACTACTCTGGGCATCTGATGTCCACGGCTGTGCATCTGTCCTTTTGTAGGTGCAGAGAGGCACTGTGCACATTTTCAGGCCAGTGCAAGTGTGTCAGTTGTCAAATCTGCATTTATTAGGCACTTGCTGTGTGCATTGCTGTGACGTATTTTGATGCACGGTTTGAGTTGCAGTTTTACTTGGAAACCAGTAGCAGTAAACGTGATTCATGCATCCTTCTCAACATGTGACTTTACACATCTTATTTGGATTTCAGCCTAACTATGTGTGTGTTGCTGTATAACATGTACTACCCAGGACATGCAGCTTATTCGACGGGATGGCTCAATCTGCTCTGACCGAGGAGCAAACCCAAATCTCACAGAGGCCGGGCTGCCAGCATCCATGTGCCACTGAATGCCTAAGACCATCACTTAGCTCCCTGGGTTCTGGCTTCCTCATTTGCAGATGGTGATGGTTACACTGAGCACCAAGGCTTCTGGGGTGAAGCAATGAGATCATGGATCTGAAAATGCTCTATAAGTAATAGCAACAGTCACAGTGCAGGAGGTTTACTCTCTGTCACCTTCAGGCATAAGAAAACCTGATGATTACTTAAAAGTCACAAACAATTTTCAAGCTACATTTTAGCCAATTTAACGTTCCTAGAATATGGGGCCCTTGCCTTGGTGCTTCCTGGCTCCCAGGCCTGCCTCTCACCATGTGCTCCAAGCCCAGGACAACTCTTCACTGCCCTTTTGTCCCTGTATCTGTGCGCCTCTGGTACATGCTTCCCTTTGCCACACCACTCCCCTTGTCTGAGCCACTTAGAGGTCCAGGGAGGCCCAGGCCACTCCTAGTTATGAGGTTTCTTGTTTATTAAAAATGAAAATCTCCAAAGTGGTTGGCAATAACTTTGGTATGCGTAAACACTTAGCAAATTAACATTATCAATACACATACCCAAATCCAATGTATGTGCTGACTATTTTGAGACATCTCTAAATATATAAATGGGAGGCCCAGGTGGATCCCGCTGGCTCCTCATGCCCTCATCCCCCATGAAATCTGTCTGACCTGTGGAAATGCCACCTGTCCCCTAGCCCCAGTACAAGGACCTATGTCCCGGTAGGGCTGGTCTAAGTGTTCTCTTTTCTCAATTCGTGTAGCACTTTGATGACAGTCCACCTACCATTTTTAATACTGACTTGTAGCATTTTGTGTATATCACTTTCCCTTCTAGATTCCTGGCATCCTGGGGTGGGGAGGGTGTTCTGTTAATATTCAGCACAATGTTCTGTGCATAGTTTATTCAGTGAACCAGGATGAATTAACAAATGGTAACAATTTATTTATTATAATATGACGTGAGCTTTCACTTTAAGTCAAAGTAAAAATTCAGGCATTGGTGTTTAAATCATCTGGTCCTGTTCTGCTGAGAGCCATATGGTCTTATAGAGGTGTTTGTGTGTGTGTGTGTGCTGTGATTTTGGCTCAGGCCATTGAAATAGGTATATTTGTGGCATAACTTAAACTATTTTTAGGTCCAAAGCAGTGGTTCTGTGCTACTTTGAATGTAAAGGTTTTGGCTTCTGCAGGTACTTGTTGATTGAATGATGGTGCTGGATGCTGGGGATGTAGCTGTGAACTGTGTCAGACAGCTGCCAAGAAGAGAAAGAAAGAGGCACTAACGTACATAGTGTGTTGATTGCTACGAAAGAAAATACCTTCCTTGTTTGTGGAAGCAGAACGCATAGGATTTATTTGAAAGTAGTTAAAGAATTTTAACAGTCAAGGAGTCTCAGCTGGGATTATGTGTCAGAGGGACTTGCTGAGGTGGTGAAAAGGCGGGCTGGGAGGAAGAGCCGAGTCAGGGCGGGTTATTGCTAAGTCTGGTCAATCAGCTGGTAAACTTTAATTTTATTGATTGGAAAAATTATTGGTGAGATAATGACATATATGTCAAAACCGCCTTTGGTTTTGTTTTGAAGAGAAAGATAGTGACATGCTTATTTTTGCTGGTGCCCTGAGAATAGCATACTTAGACAAAAGAGCCCCTTGGGGTGCTGAGGCCTGGGGAGCTCACCGGTGTGATGCCTTCACGCTGTGATTCTCTTCGTCTAACGAGGAGGGTCGGTTTCTGGGGATGTTCAGGTACATTGAAACCTTTGAAAGGTCAGGCTGTCTGTCATTTGTCACCAGCATTGAAAAGTGTTACAGAAACATTACAGGAGTATTGGTGATGTTTGTGGAGATGACCCAAGAACACAGGTGGTGGTTCTGTGTGTGTTTGAAATTCTAGAGGCAGCAGGTGGTGATTAGTAAAATAACCGAGGCATTTGGCTGTAAAATTCTAGAGCGGTTTCATAATTTTGTTTTTCCTTACTTATAGTTTGAGAACTCATATATTATGATTCTTAAAATGATTAATTATGATATTTTAATACATTTTTATTTTTAAGAAGGAAAACCTGAAATTTGTATCATCTGAATTTTGGAGGAAATGTATCTGCCTGGTTTTAGATACCTATCAGGAAGTACCGCCATCTAATGGCTATTGTGTCAAATTGCAGATAAAAGTTCTTAAAGGACCCCATGAAACTAAGACATTGGTCCTGTAGGTTTCACCTGCTTTATTGTCAAAAAACCATCACAGGGTGAGACGTAGAAAACTTGTTATAATTTTAATGGCAGTGCCGCTAGCTGTACAATTTTGTTCATCCATGGGCCTTAAAACCAAATAGTCTATTTTAATGAATATATTTATTTTAGTGTATTCATTTGTGTGTTTTCTAATTAGTGGCTTAAGTTCCTAACTCAGAATGAAGGTGGAAAGAGCCGAGAGTCAGTGGGAGCTCTAGTCTTTTCTACAGCTTCTGCATGTGGAGTGACAGGGTTGAGGTGGGTGCCCTGTGTGCGCAGCTCAGGCCTGGTGCTGGGGTGAGTGGGCAGAAGCAGGTGCGCTGAGACCCCGCAGCTGCAGTGACGCCCTGCGCCTCCCCCGCAGCACCTGTCCTACGGCAGCGGCGGTGGCAGCCTGCACGTGGACGCCGCGTTCCAGCAGACTCTCTGGAGCGTCGCCCCCATCAGCTCAGGAAGCGAAGCGGCCCAAGGTACGCACTCCACCCCAGGTAGAGGGCTTGTCCTCACGCAGGGCGGCGGTCGTCTTCGGGATTGTGATGTGAGCTCTGTTAACGAGAGCTTGTGCTAGACTATTCTATAATGTAGCCGCATGACACAACTCAATCAAAATTTCTATTTAAAAGCAAAGTCTGGGTTAAGACTTACCTTCCCTTATTTTTACACTGTTGTCAGCTGTAGTTTGTCAGTGTGGTTTTATGTGCCAGCTTTTTAGGGTTACTTTCCCCAGTGTTCTGGCCCCAGGGTGTTGCTCAGGTAGACTGGCATCAAGATTTCCCCTCTTCCAGGGTGGGTGGCTGGAGCTGGGCCTATCCATGCGTGTATGTTTAAGGAGGATTTTATGGGTTGGGGTGGTGGTTTCCAGTGGGAATGTCAGTAACTGTGCGTGGGGCCCGGGGCTGAGGCAGCGGGCAGGTGGCACCATCCCTCTCTGAGGTTTGGCCAGGAACTGAAGCCTCCCTAGACTTCTGTTTCTCTGTCTGAAAATAGAAGATTGGACCAGTTGATCTGTCCAGCTACCAACATCTGACCATGACAGTTGAGATGTGACTGAATTTCAATCCCCACAGGGTACCTGATCGGCGGTGATGTCCTGAGGTTGCTGCACGGACACATGGACGAGTGCCTCACCGTCCCCTCCGGAGAGCATGGGGAGGAGCAGCGGAGGTGGGTGCTCCAGCCTGGGGCCTGAGCCTTGCATTCCTTGCCCTGATGTAATTTTTTAATTAAGGATATGTCAGTCTAGTCCATTAGCGTAATAGAAAGTAGGCCTCTAATGTTCCTCTGTCCACTGGAGAGGCCCCTCTGTTGGCTTCTTTAGAAGTTTTTTTCTTAATGTTTTTATTACCTATCAATAGAATTGCTGAGAAAAACTAAAACACAGTAAGAAGCATCAAATTAAATAAACTGAGTGGGAGGAGTGAACACATTGAAAAAGCTACTTAAAACTTCATTAAATGTTCATTAGTTTTGATTAATTCTCTTTTTGGAACATTTAGTCTCAAGTTCAGTTTCAAAATCAGATTTCTCAAATTGTACAAAAGTTTATGAGCTATTTTTTACTTTCCATTTGCTGCCATAGATGATAGAACTGACCGCTTTCCCTAATGTTTTATGTGATTATAATACCTCTCTTATGCTAATACCTGGCATTAGGCCAAGATTGGCGTAGCCTGGATCTTTGGAGAAAGTGCACAAATGGTACAAAAGCAGAGAAATACTTAGTGTGGTTTGAATGCTCCACCTTGCCTCCCGAAGTCACGGGTGATGTGATAAGTTTAGAGCATAAATAAGAGATGGCTGAGAGCAGCGTTGTCCGGATGGTTTATTACATGTATTTCAGTTTGGGGGGCATTTCTCATAATAACATACACACGGAGGTAACTATTATTTAATACATTTTTCTTTGTGTAATTTAAAGAAAGATACGGGGAACATTTAGCAAGTTAATAACCATTTACTGGCTGTTTAACTGCGGAGCAGTCTCTCTGAGGTCTGGGTGCCCTCTCACCCGTCGCCAGGGTGAAGAGATGCGGGGCCTGGGAAAACTCCCTAAACTAAAAGTGCTGCTTTCAGCAGCTTCGGAAGGGGATGCTGATGGCATCGTGGGGTTGGTGTAAGAGACGAGAGGGAGTTCAAAGGCCAGATGGTTTGAAGAATTAATTCCAAGCCCAAGAATAAGCCTAAGACTCAGTGGGTGGCAGCGTGTTCTGGGGACAGCCACTGTTGAGTGACGGGCCAGATGGGAGTGAAGGTGGGAACTGGGCACGAGAGTAGCGGCAGCCCCTTTCCCGCCCGGCGCTGCCCCCAGGTAGCAGGAAGCAGAGGGTTTGGGGTGAAGTGGTCAGATCCCGTGAAACGGAACAGCCCTGATGGGCAGGAGGAGCTCAGGTCAGAAGTGGATGAGTCCAGGTCAGGGAATCCAACCAGGAGGAGGTGTTGACATCATTCATGTGAGAAACAACCCGGAGAGTAGCTGCCACGTGCAGGGGATCCCCGGGGGCAGAGACCGGAGAGGTCAGACTTTGGCTGGTTTAGGGATGAAGGACGTATGAACTGTGGGAGGAGGTGCCGATCCAGGGCGGTCGTATGGTTGTGACACTGCGAAGTGATGGTGCTGAGGACTCAGGAGGTGGACGGAGGGGGCACCAGGACGTTTCGGATGTTGGTGAGGGCAGAGGTTCCATGGGGCATCGGGCAGGAAGTCGGAACTTTTGAGTCTTTAACTTTGACAAAGCCAGTTGGCTATTGATCTCAGGCAGGCAGGGAGAGTGGGAGGGGTGCTATTCCCAGGTGGAGGGAGGAGCTGAGATTGGGGGTGATTTATCAGTTTGGCATTGCTTTTTTTTTTTTTTTATTGATTTCAGAGAGAGGAAAGGAGAGGGAGAGAGAGAGATAGAAACGTCAATGATGAGAGAGTCATAGATCGAGCCCGCAACACGGGTATGTGCCCTGACCAGGAATCGAACCCCGATTGCCTGGATCCTAGGTCGACGCTCAACCACTGAGCCACACCCGGCCAGGCTTGGCATCGCTTTTAACAGGCTACAGAGCCTAGGCTGGCAAAGCAGAGAGGAGGCTGAGGGTGGAACCCTGGAGAGCGCTGGCTTCGAGAGGGCAGCAGGGTCAGAGTGACCAGGGCAGGTGGTCCTGGGAGCAGAGGCTATCTGCGTGATGTGTCCCTATGGACTCTGGTGAAGAGAGGCCTTTCCCAGTCTCTGGGGTGTTAAGTGAAACACTGACCAGTGGTCTCCAGACACGTAGTGGTTTCTAGTGAAGGCGTCAGGCTCTGCACGCCTAGTGGTATAGCGTGTGCAGGGGACAATCTCTGTACACAGTGCTCTTCTCTGTAAAGGGCAGAAGCATACAGATCCGCTGCTGCTTCCCGGGTGGGTGTGAACATTGAGGGGGAACAGGCCTGTGGGGCCCCTGATGGACCTGAGGAGGTCAGCCCACTTTTATTGTTGTTGTTACTATCTAGACGTAGAGAGTGTTCAGTCAGGCGTGGAGACGTTGGAGGGACACTGGGCGTGCGGGTGACGCCGGAGGAGGAGACGCTAAACTGCATCCAGGCAAACGCTCGGCTCCTTGACTTGAGTGTGTTGGATGGAGGGTGGTGAGCAAGGGCTCCCGTCCCTGCTCAGGTTCAGAAGCCAAGAATGGATGGGCACAGCTTTGTTTTAATAGTTGGCTGTTTTCATTTTCAAATAATGTTGGGTGTCGCATCCCAGATTCCCTGACTGAGCTCGCTGGCGAGGACTCTAGCCTCCCGCTTCTCCTGGGCCTTGAGAACGTGTGTGTGACCCGCTGCTCCAGAGCACATGTCCTTAATTCTTCTGGTTGCTGGTTATTACTGCAGAGAAAAGCAGGGGCCACTTCACACATATTTAATGTCGTCTGGCCCAGCCTTCCCGTGGCACACATGGTGCAGTTGGCTCCTGACATCGATCCTGATTCGATGTTGATAATTTCTGTGACGGCAGTAAGAGCACACCCCCTGTGTCCTCTGCACAGCACGTCTGCACAGGTGAAACTAGATAAATGGATGTCAGATCATGACCTAAAGGTGAACATGAGTCGGAAACAGGCAGCAGGACCCGAAGGACGTTGTCTTGATTACACAGTGAGATTCACCAATTATTTGCATATAATGATAAAATAATTCCTTTATTTTTGCATTATAGAGCACTATGTTATTTCAGATCTCGTTAATATCATTGCATAGACATTTCCCCATCTCCCTCTGTTCTCGCCCTGAGGGGTCAGCGCCTGTGGGAACCAGGGAAGGACAGGACCCCGCAGCCCAGGGCAGCCTTCTGGAAGTGATAGGAGTCGGGGGTTGGGGGGACACATAATGAGAACCTAAAACATGTATTTTGATTCATTTAAAAAAGAAGTAAAAATAAGTTGACTCTTGGACAGCGATTTGAGAGCTGGAGCAGTTCTGGGGAAATACGGAGGTTGTTCTTTCCTGGTGCCTCGTGGCTGCACGGTGGCCTGGCTTCCTCACTGCTGGTGTCCTGTGGTTGAGGCGAAACACTGAAGATAAAGCTGGTGCGTTGTGAGGACTGGTGGGTGGTGAAGGAGGCGCCCCAGGGACACTCTACCTCTGAGGACTTGGGACACTTTCATGAGTCTGTGTTCCTGACTCATGTTTGTGAGTTTGTGAGTCTGCCCAGGTCCATCCAAGGACAGTTACCGCATGTCCAGAGTTACAATTGCAGCGACTAAAATGCCCTCCAGCGAGGCGAGGGGCTCCATAACTTTAGCTTCCCCTTCACGTGGATCTGAATGTGCGTGCGGTGACCTCTGCATCCCCCTGAGTGCTAAGACACTTACAAGAAGAGCATAGATGTCGTTTAATTAACCGGAATTGAATTGGATAACAGCGCCGACCGGTGTTAAACTAAATGCATTTTCCCTTCACTTCTGCTCGGATTCCTTTTATGGATTGAATTTAGACATGCTCCTGAGTTACAGCAACACTATTGTTTTATGTTAGGTTTCTTGAGATTTTTCCAGGAAGACATGTGGCTGTAAAATTACTGGCGTACAACCTGTCTCAACAGCAGTGAAAGTTGTGAGCAGCCTGGTGGAAGGAGCGGTGGTTGAGCATCAGCTGTAGAATTGCAGCTCCTCAGCTCTTATACTTGTCGGACAGAGAGAGCAAGTCAGGGAGAAACAGGTTGTGGTGCTTGTGAGATGCAACATAGGGTTTTAATTATTGCTTTAAAAATAACTTAAATGCACGTATGCGTAGTCCATGGACAGAGACATAGTGTGGGGAAGGCC